AAGCAAGCATTAGACTTCGTGTGAGATGAATAGGTCGTTTTATCATATGTAGGTACAAGTACAAGCAATTGCACTCGTACACGCGCGCTGACGAGGGTTTTGTACGTTATATGATCCGCGCTTTTATCGACAGTAAATCATATGTGTAATAAATAAATATACGAAGGATAAATCTATACATATACGTACCATGGATACATTAGTATTTGATTGAGTTGTAATAGTGAGGGAGCTTGATTTATTAGAATTTCAAAATATATTCCATAACAAATACAATTAACATAAAGAAACAAATTACTTTAATTTCAGATAATGCTTACAGATAAATGAAGATCCAAAATAATTTTTGCTATCAGTAATTTTTGCTTGAATTCCGTTCCGTTCCGTTTAGCATGTGACATTTAATCAATCGGGAGAGTCCGCGATTGTCTTCAACGTTCGCTCAGCAAGTGACGTCACAGTCTCTTCTATGTTTGTGCACTTATTTTGCGCTCAACGAGCTCATAACTTATGCAGACCTTATACAGACGTATAAGGTCTAAATAAGGTCCCTGTATAAGGTTTATGAGAAAGGAGCATAACGGTCTATTTTATCGGAGAATTGGCCTCTAAATATTGCAATACGATCACCAGAAAGTAATGTACATATCTTTGTTATAAAATTTATTTAGCTTATTTAATTATAGATAAACTTGAATTGAAATTTGCGAATAATAATGGTTTACTTATATATTTCAAGTAGTCATAGCTATAACTCTGATGTTGATACTGTAAATATTCCTCGATTGACAGAACTTCATGCCCACAGAGAGTATGTGTCATATCATCATGTGGCCTGCGTTTTATCACACGTATAAAAGAGTTTCTTGATATGATGTTTGATCTATGATTTGAACTTCAACATTTTCCTTCATGCAAAACCTGTTGCATTCTAGGGTGTGTTTTTACAATGCTCATTTAGAATTTGAATTTTCTATGCAAATGTTTCATTTCGTGGTGAGCCGTTAGTTGTACAATAAAAATTCTGTAATAGTCATCGTATACTTATATGTAATTTTATTTGAAGATTTAACCTTTGCAAACAATGAATACGCGCATTCTTCAATTCATTAATAGTTTGATGTATGACTCGACGATGAAAATTTATAAGCTTGATGCGATTTTTTATGATGCAAATGGTGAACTTAATGAAATGCAAATACGTTTACACTTGTGTATAAACATTTATTTAATATATTATATTTCAACATGTATTAATAACATGTAATATTAATACATATTATAACATGTAATATTAATACATATACATATAATATATTAATAATATATTAATAATGAATAGGAAATCTATCCAATTATATCATAACAAATAACACAAATTGAACAAACAACTACTTGACTATATTCAGTTGTTTTTCAAAAATTAGTCATCTGGTTTAAAACTTATTTTAAATTTTAAAGGGATTTTACGAAATAATAGCTACATTATTCAACTAATGCAAAACATAAATTTCATATGAACATTATTACAGAGAATTTCTCGTACTGAATTAAAATTTTGAAAATCTGAATTATTTTCGATATTCAAAAAAAATTTTTTTTGGAAATTAAAAAAAAAATCTTTTCCCAAAAACAATATTTTTGTCAACACAAGCAGAAAGTTTCTTGAATCATTCAAATTGGATGCTTATTTCTCTCAAAATGATTTTTTGGATAATTCAAATCGGATGCTCCGTTCGCTCAAAAATTCTTTGCTCTGTGACTTCTAAACAGCTGGACCGACTTTTGTCAAAAACTAATCAGCCCATCTACCTATCAATAGGAATCGAATGTTTTTTGAACATTCAAATCGGTTGATTTGCGCGCTCGAAAACGTGAATAAAAAATTGTATCCATACATACATACGTACACACACACACATACACATCCATTTTTTCTAAGGCATGCCAAAATGTTCAGAAAACTTCAAAACGTGAATTTATGCAAAAATTTTCAATTGCGATTTTTGGAAGATTACAATAACTTATCCTACGGGTATGTAAGTAAGTATGGTAACCTTTCCACTCGGAAGCCGCCGTTCCGGCAGCAAAATACGTACTGATTCCGGAATTAGCGAGTGGAAAGGGTTAATAAAGTTGATTTTGAGTTGCCTTTCTAATTCATAAAAAATAAGTTCTTGCAGGAAGTCTGAACGGTATGCCAAACGGGACGCAAAAAATAGATTAGTTCATTATATTCTCACATTCTTCAGGAATATGAAGGAGAATGATATATACTCTATATATATTCAATTATATTAAAAGGTAAAGAACGAAAAAATATCTAGGTTAGAAAACATCGGAAGATAAAAATATTGAGTCAATTTCCGTTTTCGCTTAGTTTATACCTTATTTTGCTATTTAATAAATAGTGTATTGAACAATCTAAAGAGGTGAAATACAATAAAATCTATTAAGGTGTAGGATGAATCCCATTTTAGTATCTAGAGCCGATATACACGCGCGTCTTCGTGTCTGTCATTCACATTGTCAAACACATGATAGCTCTATCAGCCACACGGTCAAAGTCCTATACTGATAATAATAAACGCATACTCTACTGTTCTTTAGAACAATGCACTCAGATCAGTTCGAATGCGTCAAATGCACAAATACCATATATTACCAAGAGTATTAAATACTCTACTAGTAATTATATTGTACCACTCAATAATAAAACAAGTTTTATAAGTGAAATCTGGATGTCCAATTCGCAAAAAAAAAATTGTGGTCGTCGACATTTTTGGTTTGCTGTTTAAGTTTTGACCAACTGTGATATAATAGAAACATTTAAATTTTAGAATATAACATGAATCAAATTTAATATATTAATAATTTATATAGGTATATAAAACTACAATATAAACACTGATATTAAATAATCTGCTAATAATATTCTAATTAATTGGGGTTAAAATTCAATCTAATCTTCAATCAAATTGAGCAAATTGTGGAAAGTTTTACTTATAGGCAGAGTAATTTATTTAATGTTAATTACTGAATTAGGTTTCCTCAAACCTGATATCATTATCAATTTATCATATTTTTACCGATTACTGTGTTCTTTTACTCTATTATGTTTAAATCATGGTGTATTGTTCTAAACGTCAAAGTACGTCATAGTTCACCTTAGCAGCTATATTGTATTGTGTTCTAACATGATAGAAACAGTGATATAATAATAAGCATTTAGGAGAGTGAAGATCAAGGTGTTTTAAAGAATGCAAATCTATTAAAAATAAGTTATTGTTCTATCAATGTTTGTTGTGTTTTCATTCTGAAAATTGTTCGCATGGATACTTTCAAATGTAAGTGTTAGAAAATTAAATTACACTTAGTTTTTAATCAATCATGTTATTAAAATTAATTGGTGAAATCAAATTGTTCGAGATTTTGATATACTAATTTGATTGAAAGATATTTCATCGAGTTATGATATTTGTTGATTGTGGCAAGTTGATGTTGTTCAATTTTCACAATTTGCTCCTATCAATACACATATTAAAATATTGTTTTCAAGTGATTTATACTACTTACAATTAGTTATTATGACACTAAGAAGTAATATAAAAATTCTGTGTATTAGATGTTGAATTATTATTTGTTTTTATAATGAACATGAAATCTTCTATAGATATAAACCTATGTAAATAATATATTTGAATTACAAGATGCTAAACATAATATTTTTGACGTCTGAGTCTTACTCTTGTAATAATTTACTTAATATATGTGCATATATAGGGTAGATTTGGGCTTAATCTCAAAAAGTAAAGCTAAGAATTTTCTAACAAAAATATTTGAAAGTAAAAGGGAGTACATGTATAACCATCATCTTGATTTGCATGTTTGCAAATGCATTTTTTCTTGTTGTTAGTTTCTTTGATTGTGAGCACTATTGTTTAGTTCACGAAACCTTAATATAATTTTTAAGTATAATTTAGATTCAACAGTTTTTTATAAGTAGCTTCTAATATAAAAGCTCACATCTGTAGGGTAAAGAGGTCCAACTGAACCTTTACCATGGCAAAGGCGTAAACAATGAAACATTAAAAATAAAGAAGAAAATTAAGTTAAAAGAAGCAACAAGAAAAATTAACTAAATATTTATTCCAACTCTGCTGATGAATATTTCTGGCAAAATACCAGATCAAGGTTATATACAGCGTTATCTCTTAGAAACGCTGTATATACTTATGAAATTTATACTTTGCATTGGTTGTATAATGTAGCTATTATTTTGTGAAATCTATTTAAAATGTTAGCATCCCAACTTATCGATTAACACCTACCTTATTGTTTTATAAGCCTTAATATGCATGCAATTTGAATTTAAGTAAAGTAATGACTAAAGTTTATATATATATATATATAAATCTTTACCACTGTTTTCCCAAATGAAAGATAAAACTTTTTTCGTTATCTCATTCTTGACAAGACTCTTTGGATGATAGCTACATTATCTGTATCCCGCATGAAATATAGAATGTGTACTTTATACACATAATGATTATATTTTAGAAAATTCACATTGAAATTCTTTTTATTATCAAAATTAATGAATATTGTTTGACAGCTACGCACATATAACTCAAAACCAAAAAAACTTAATTATGGATACTCATATACTCGTATAAATTATAAGCTATACAAAACATAACACTCATAACAAAAATTCACAAATGAAAAATACCACCTTTAACTTACTATCATTGTAGATTTATCTAAATAAAAAGAAAAACAGTTAATGGAATTGTGCAAATAAATATTTAAATCATTCAAATTTCAATACGTGCATCGCCAATCGCCTAGGAGATAAGTTGAACAAGTTAATGATAGTTAGTTGTCATAGCCTTTAAAATCTATGTACCTGTTGTTAAGTTGTACTTTAATTGATATTATTTATAATAATTAATTTTGCAAACCTTATTTAATTTTCTAAAAATTGTTATTTATTCCAGTTCTCCTCAGTCACAAAACTACCACCGATCATACGAGGAATACGTCCAGACCAATTCCAGCGCATCCGCGATGTCAACTACCCGCTCTCTCTTGGGAGAATCGCCTGTCCATCATCATCAAGACTCTAACCACTCAACCTCAGCTGCAAATGCGTCATCATCTACTACCGGGACGAATTCATCCTCGATCAGTAATCCCGGAAATACACTACTTCCAAGTGTTTTATCAGACCAGAGCTGGTCCGATCAAACGTACTCATCTGCCGACTACTCTAGAGCTTTCGATTATAATAGATCGCAATATGACGCACATCAAATTCAACAGCAGCAGGAATATCGTCAAATGTCGCAGCAGTATGCGAAATGCTCAACAACAAACTGCTAGAGGTGTTGTAGTCGGTTACAGCCCTACGGGGAAGGTTCCTGGAAATAACGCTCAAACTGCTGCCCAAGGAAGGGCAGCAAAAGAGGCCAGGATCAGGAGGCCTATGAACGCTTTCATGGTATGGGCAAAAGTGGAAAGGAAAAAACTTGCTGATGAAAATCCAGATCTACACAATGCGGATCTCAGCAAGATGCTTGGTAAGTCAATTTTAATTTTAATGCATTTTTAGTAAACTCTTGCAAACAACATCATATTTTATCTGAGCATAGTTAATATTATAGATAAAATTATTATGAAAATCGATTTACGCGAAATTGTTTTACACATTTTCGTATGTCTGATGATTTTGGACTTTTGCGTTTTATCAAAAGTTATATTCTAGTTAAGATCTTGAGTGTTAAAATTATTTTAATATCTCATTCAGTCTTTACCACTCGCAATTTTGCAAAGAAATGAAGAAGTTTTGGGAATGAAGAATATATAGAATTATAGTACAAAAATATACAAATAAGCCTGCAGATATTAAATTATTTAAGTTTCATAAGTATACCATCAAAACCTTAATTATAATGTTACATAGAAGGGACGTGTTATGATGTAAATTTTGTATATATATCATATATGTATATATACTAGCTGACCCGGTAAACGTTGTTTTACCATAAGGAGAATCCAAAAATTGTCATTTCAAACTTTCAAAAAAGTTGATATTTTGGTGTCTCTAGTAACACTTTTGACTCGTTTAATAATGGTTTTGCGTATGAATAAAACTACGAATGAAACTACTCACTACAATTAAATAACATTCATCTAAAACATCCTGTTACATTTTATTGAACAAAATCTGTCAAAACATTTGACAATTGATGTATTAGCCACCGTCTATTGTTTAATTTTAAATTATGCTATTACAAAAAATGTTTTAATTGAAAATGTAAAGTTTCTAAGCGATTTTGGTATAATATCTCACATTTCCCATAATTACTTGGTTACCAGAAATATTTCAAGATTAAAAAAGGCCAAATCGGTTCAGCTGTTTTCGAGTTCCAGCATACCTAACATAATTTCGAGTTGCATTTTTATATATAAAAAGATTATAGCTTCAATTTCGACGTTATTCAAGTACTTTATCACAAATCGAATACATCACAGAGACGCTTTTAGGAATCTTGTTTTATTCAACTGTACAAAAACAGTAGTCTTAAATGTAAGTCATTTAACAATTTTTAATTTTTAGTTTAATTTATTTTTAGGTGCTCCTTTGTTTAACTGTTCACTTATTTTTGTTTTGTTTTAATTTTAATTTGTAGTGCACTGAAGATTATATAGGGATCGTTCAAGTATTACGTAAGCAGATTTATTACAATTATTTACCACCCCCATCCCCCTTGTCAGCAAAAGTAAGCAAAGCTCTTACCCCCTACCCCCATGCTTACGTAAACATTTTGCAATTAATGTAAAAAAATAAAAATACTATTTATGACGTAATCATCATCTAGACTCCCCTGCCCCCATGTCAACCCAAAATAAGCAAATCAACAAACCCCCGCCCCCCTATAGTGCTTACGTAATACTTGAACGGCCCCTATATGATTATATGTAGAAACGTAAGGAAGTAATAAAAATTCTATAAATTTCTGCGATTTTTGTTTGATGAATTGCCTTGTAGAATTTGCATCACACATCTCAACAAAAAAAAAAAATATAAAAAATATCATATAAACATAACATAATATTTGTGTGCATATGATTGGGTGCATAAAGTTACGAGTTTTGACGAATTGTTTCAAAATTTTTCATTTTTGTATCATAGTTTTAGTATAATTGTTGTATTTGACACGTATTATTAGTAATGTAAATTTCAATTGAGACACTATCAAATCTTGAGTGATAAAAGCATTATTGTAATAGTTGTTATAAAAACTACATTAAAAACAGTTATTGTAAATTACGATCGTAATCCATTTCTTTTCTTTGAATATCGTTGACCTCTTCCTCATGAGCTTTGCATATAATTACTTTTGGGCGCCGCTATACATTGCGGTACTCTGTAGATTTGTGCCATCGAGTAATGCGAAATTATGCATAAATCAAAATCTTGATCTTCAAGCCGCACCTTCGGACAGAAGATTGAGAAAAAATATTTAATTTCTGCCCCACTATCTACCTGTGGCACCCACCTTTCTCTCCAGAAATGATTCATTTCATACGCATCGAGTCTGAATGGTCTTTGCGAAGATGGAAACCTCAATTCATATTATTATAAGTCAACTATTGCAATTATAAAAAATTATCAAAAATGTCTCTTTATTGAGTTCTTACAATACAAGCATTCCGATAAATTGTAATCAATAGTAGTCAAGAATAACGGTTTTTTGTCATAAAGGTGCAAGAGTTACCGCGTTACAATAAAGGATAATGTTCACTTCAGCCATAACTACATATTCATCTTTTTCACATTTTGTCATAAATATAGGATATGAATTTTTATATAAGCTATCTATTTGTCTTTATATTTATGTTTATATACTCTTGGATATATCTATTCTATTTATACAGTGTTCTAACGCTTTTACCATTAACTTTATTGTAGTTGTTATATAAATGTTACTTCTTTGGACCAGACTTTGATGTGCTATAATATTATTAGTGTCTTTTGTTTGTTATGATTTTAGGTTACTAAAATTGATACTTTAAATAGTACCAAAATCGTGTAAAAGCCTTGCTCAAAATATTTCTAATACTGTGCGGTTTTTGTAAAATTTATGTAGTTTCAAAACACATTTTGATAAATTAATGGTGTATTTGTCATTTAAAAAAAGGAAAATATGGTCGTCCAATGATGAGCAATAAAGAACAATATGGAAACGCATACAGCCAGTCTTTTTGATAGTATTCAGAGTCAGATGCATAATTACAACTTCCAGTCTTACTTAGATCAGATTATTCAAATTTTGCCTAGACCAATTGAGAAGTAGGTAAAACATGTTTTTTTGTTATAGAGATACGTAAAAAGTTAGACAAAATCAAATTTTTCGAAAAGGTTTGCAATGGACAACTTTACCTACAACTTCCTTAAATTATCTCAGATTCTACTTTTTAAAAAATCAAGAATTGCACTTTTTTTTTCCAAAAGTATTTTAATAATGGATTTAAAATTTTAAATAAAAATAGACTTACAGAAGTAAGCATCACAAGGCTTTGTAATCACAATATCCTTGGTTCAGATGCACATTGTTGACAACCAGATGCCAATCCGCAATGATATCCCTTTTCACTTGAAATTCAAAGTGAAAATAGCCCTTCCTGCAATAAATTAAAAGCATATCAATACTAATAATAAGAAAAATTATTAAGTTGAATATAAAAAATGTAAAATTGATAGGACTTCAACTTAACAGCTTATACTACTCTTAGCTCTGATTTCTGTTCAAAAAAGTAGATGTACAATAAAATTTTTCTTAAAATTAGAAACTAGTTTTCACCAGTTGTTCTTCAATCCATTACAAATAGTGTAATACACATATACAAACTCAGATACCCACTATCGCATATCAGGTCACCTGTGTTATATCTTGTTATCAGTATTGGACTTGATAACATTTCGTCTCGTGCTCAGTAGGTAATACGTCATAAAGGAGAATTACTTATGAGCACAATTAGTTTATAAATAAGTTTTGAGGTATTGCACATTTTCTGACATATTGACGTCAATAATTAATCATACTCTCTTGTTCGGTTTGCTTCGATATTTTTTTAGTTTGATCTCAAAGTTTTATGAATTATCCAGAAAAATCTAGTTAAAAATTCTATTTAAATGAATTGTACAGAACAAGAGATTCCTCTTAGGTTTTTTCACTTCTAATCATTTTGAAATATAGATCAAGAAATTGTTTCCAATTAAAGATAACCCATTTCAAGTACAATTGGATATCTCTCACACTATTATTCCCTGAATAGAGTTCGATTTTAACTCAGCATATGGACCTGCCCTAAGGCAGCACTACCCACTACATTACCATTGTCAAAAATGAATTTCTATTAGTAGTAGTACATATAATTGATTTTGAAGCAATTTTAGATAAGAATAAGTAAATATAAAATATGTCATATAATCTTGTTAGCGAAGTAGATTATCCTAGTGTTCACTTTCGTTTAAATTTTTTACAATTACACACTTTCTGAGCATAAGGTTCCATGACAAATTGCTAAAAGTGTCCACTCAAAAAGACGCGCTTGAGGGATATTTGTTTTTACATTAATTCTGGCGCAAAAAGCATATAGTAGGCGAAAGTATTTTTGGATTTTTATAATTTAGAAAGCTATTTAATTATATTATCAACGCCAAAAATTTTTCCAAACCAGTTATTTTGTCTATTAAAAATTATGTTAAAGTCTATACGAGTATATAGTTTTGTTTTGTTATATTAATTTATATTGGAATGGAATTTATATTGCTAACTATAAATGTAAGGAATATCTCTATTTTTATAATTTTTAGTAGCAGTAAAAATTAAGTAGTTGTTCATGGTAAAGTTTGGGCAGAATAATTCAATGTAACTTGATCAATAGTTTTGAAGGTGTGTAGTATTTCAATAAAAGTATAATGTTTGTAATAAATATGCATTTATTTATCATTTACTTATATGAGTGTAAGAAGTTTGATGAGATAAAATTTTATTTAGAAAAATAAAAAATGTAATGTAATGATTTAAAAATGAGTCTTGGAATAACTATTATCGAAATTACTTAAGTGTAAATATGATATGACATTCAACTAAATTAAATACCGTATGCAGTAAATGAAACATTATCTATTTTGACACATTTTAATATTCAAATTACCATTATTCGTGGCACCAAAAATTAGTTCAAGTTCTTTTCTAGACCTATAGTGGTATGTCAAGGGCAACTTCGATGCGGGCATGTACTTGTAGATGGCAAAACTCTGACAACGAAATAATAAATTTTGATAAGTTTTAAATGTGTTTTAATGATGCTAATAAGCAAAATTTTGAAGATGGCCAAATTCCTCTTCAGCAAGAATAGCTTGAGAGTCATTAACATCAACAAAAGTTTAAATTGAATTGCAAACGTTCTGAAGCAAAACAATTTTAGCATTTCAAGCTGAATTCAAAATTAAAACTTAATGCATAATAATATAAAAGTTAGAAAACAAAATTGTGCGTCATAGATG